CCTCAAACCCCGTCTGGTTCATTGAGCCCACAGGTTTCTGGAGCACCACCCCAACCAAAACCTTTAGTTTCTAAACCCAAGTCAGTCAAGTCCCCAGCCCCACCTGTCCCAACAACAGCACTTGCTAAACAATTGTCTTCTCCTCCATCGCAGCCCGTCAAAGTGAAGTACCTAGCTCCTCTTCCTCCTGTCCGGTCCGGAGCCTCCAAATTAGCTGAGGTTGAGATTTCCAAACCTTCCTCACCTCCTGATGGCACCAATTCAAGTTTCACCATAAGTAATGTAGAAACCCCCGCTAGCTCCAAAATGTCATCGCCTGGAGTGAAACTGAATGGAACCCAGCCACACATTACTGCCAGCAAGTCACAAAGTTCAGAAGATACACCAAACCTTTCTGTCTCTCAAGACCTCACCTCGGTGACTGTCTCCGCCCTGGTCTCTAGCACCATCCAAGGTCTTGTTTCACCACCCACTCCAGAAAAACCTTCTACCAGCACCAGTCCTGGTCTCAGCATGGAGTCAGAAGCCACCAAAGCCGCTACTCCTGTTTCCACCAGCAAAGACTCCAGCAAGAGTCCAACGAGCCCCAAACATGGAAAATTCTCCTTTGAGAGCCAAAGCCCCACAAGTACGCCAGGACTGTTCAGCAAAGGACCTAATCTCAGGTGTGTTCAAAAAGTATTTGATTCATTTGTTGCATTCTACATTTTCCACAAACATTACTTAAGTAGGACAACACTAGAACTTCATTCTGGTATAGATGGAATGGGTTAATAAGTGACTCTCTTGAGAGTTCACCTGCAGAAACTTTGTCTCCCTGATTTATCTTCGCAGTCCAACTAGCCCAAAGCCAATCGAAGACATTTGTACCAGCTCTGGACCTGGTCCAGCCCACTCCAAGCCACCTACAAGCCCACTCAGCCCCAACAAGGTAAGACATCTCTCTTTTTTATACGGGGAATAGTAGAGTTAAATACACATTAGCTGTGTTTCCATTACCGTAACTCCAGAGTAATTCCTGGGATGGGGAAATTGACCAGGAGAAAGTATGTCCCAGTCCTTTCAGCTGTCTCCATTCAAATTTAGCCCTTTCAGACGTTGCAATTGCTTTAGCAGTGAGGGGTGTCACTGATCAGCGTCAGAAAGCGTCCACAGTAACATTAACAATATTAAAAGCATTTATTCTATGGAAGTACATCATAATTTAATCCATTCTGATGATAAGAGCAGTTGTGCGATGGAAAATGTGGTGTTCAATATCCAGAAAAGGTGCAGTTTTTACAGCGCTCTGTGAGACAACAAAGTCCTGTTAATTAAGTCTGTGGGAGAATTTCCCATGTTTTCCAGTGTCGGGACTTTTGTAACAGCTGTGAGAGAATTCTGCTGTGTTTTCAAGTGTCGGGAGTTAGATTTGAAGCGCGATCGGTGCCTAATTTCCTTTGATTCCATTCTGCTTCACCAGCAACTCTTCTAATTGAACTAATGCCGGTTGTTTTGGACGACGTCTGCTGATGTAATGTCCTACTCATTTACAACCAATCAGCTTGAGTTAACCAGAGGCTTTGCTCAGCTACTCCACTGGGCCGTTAAATGCACCTGCCCAGAGCAGGTACTCAGAAGGTTCCTGAAAATGAGTTATATAGTTGATATCTAACACTGACATTAGAGTCAAACCTGAGTGTTAAAAAGAAGCTAACTCCGAACGCCTACAGCAGCTACAACACCTGCAGAGGTAATTCACAGACTCCACCCCATTTTTCTAAAAGTTGGTCTGGTAATGACCAATTGGCTGAGCTGCGGGAGCTGCAGTGGGCGAGGTGCATTGCGCTTAGTGATGTTTTTAGTCAGTTAGTTCTATTTTGGGGCGTTTATGCATGTTTATTTCGGGGTTGTGTTGTTCTTAGTACTTTGTTCACTGTTGCAAATGTGGTGTTACTTGTTGTGTCATGTTGACACTGTAAGTGAGGAGTCTGGTCAAAGGAATGGGGCCCCTGTGCCGTTCTACTGTCCTAGTAGAAAAGCAGTGCATGGTTTACCTATACATCAGGACTCTGTTCCTTGTGTTCCTCTCTCATTGGCTGGTTGCAGTCATGAGATGTACAAGTCCTGAGTTAGCTAGCGAGTGGCTGGTGTGCAGGAGGGGCAATAAGGTGGAGAGAAGAAGAGGATCTGAGTGAGCGTGAGGGGTAGCAATATTAATGAGGTCTGTTAAGTGGGAAGGAGTAAGATTATGTATGGTTTTGAAGGTGTGGAGGAGGATCTTGAAGGTGGACCTACATTTAACTGGAAGCCAGTGGAGCTGCTGAAGAACAGGGGTGATGTGGAGAAAGGAAGGGCTTCCTGGCATGGGACACTGATAAGAATTAAAATTCATTACTAGGGTTGTCACGGTAACCGGTGTAGCGGTTAACCCCGGTAAAAAAGTTGACAATAATAATAGCCATCTTGTTTTTTAAAAATATTATCTCGGTGGATTACCGTGGCTGCGGTGTAGGCGCGGTGACTAGTGATGGGAATTCCGGCTCCTTTTAGAGAGCCGGTTCTTTTGGCTCAGCTCACCAAAAAGAGCCGGTTCTTTTGGCTCCCAAGTGGCTCCTCAGATTTTCTGTTGCGTAGAGTACATTTATAACCAAAATAATGCAAAACTATATGTAAAATAATTTACTAATGTAAAAAAAAGCAATATATCAAATATTTATCATTTCTATGGATTTAATAACTGAACACTTTAAGAAATCTCCACTTTCCGACTGCTGGCGCTCATTTTCTCACCGTCTTCGTCGCACACTCCTCCCTCTCGCTCGCCTTTTTCCTCCTCCTCATTCCCTCTCGTCTCCCTCCTCCCACATGTGCTCTGCTGTGTGTCTGAGTATGATCCTCCCTCTTCCCCGCCTCTGTGTGTGGACAGTCTGGACACACAGTTACACATGTTGACCAATCGCCTGTAGCTATCACCAAGGCGGGGCGGGGGGGGGGGGGGGGGGGGGGGGGGGGACGGCTCCCAATGACGAGCCGGCTCCCGTCGTTCACTTCAAAGAGCCGGCTCTTAGAGCCGGTTCGTTCGCGACCGACACATCACTAGCGGTGACCCTTACCAGCCACCGTATCATCTGCTGAAGTTGCCGACGGCACATGCGCGCTTTGTTGTTTACAACCAAACTTTCTTGAAGCAGTGCTCAGGAAATTTATTATAAAAAAAAGGTGTCTGATTAGAAGGCTACTTGAGTACTGAGTATCATCTGATCTAATATTTTTAAAATGATGACATCAAACAGACAAAAAATAAGAAGTTATGGGCAAATATTGGTATTTTAAAGACTAAAGGGGAAATATGTACACAAATAAACAACATAATTGCAATATATATATATTTTGGGAACTTTTTATTTTTGAATTACAACAACATTTACATGTAGATGCATTTGATTGCCTTTTTCCATTTCACCAGAGCAGCGTTTCCCTGAACAAACATCAAATTTGCATGTATCCACATGAGAAATACCTTGTATTTACATTCATATATCCAACTTAAATAAATCCCCAATCCAGCATGTACGTAATTCTCACAAGCTTTCTCTGTATTCTTCTTATCTGCTCTACTACTTTCTACTTTGGTAAAAAAATAAAAAATTACAACCAAAAAAAAAAAAAATTATATATACACATATATTTTACATGAGAGTACATACTTTCTAGTATTTGTTTTCTGGTTCCCAAAGTTTTTCAAATTTCCCAAATCTCAGTGGTACTCTTGCAGTAATTTGTTCCATTTTGTAGGACTGGGGGTAAACAATTATTTTTAAAACGATTATTCTGACGATTATTTTATCGAATAGTCGACGATTCTAATAACTATTAAGACGATTAATCTAACGATTATCTTTATACTGCACAATTAATAAAAACCAGAAAATCTAAAAAAAAATTCCTCAAAAAATTGATAAATTGTTACTGTAAGAGAATAAACACTACAGGCCTTCCATTTTGTATAACACTGCTTTTATTGTGTTGCGGTTGGTTATGTTCTGGTGACGTGTGGAATTTGGGAGAGCAGGCTGCTGCCTGAGAGGTGGTTGGAGATGGAGTGTCTCCATGCTGCTTTGTTTTGGTCACTTATGTGCGTGAGACGAGTGGTGTTACAACCCTTCCTGGGGAGTTTGGCTTGTGTGCAAAAAGGAAGGGACAATAACGTGGGATTTAAAAGTTAAAATGATAATCAGGTTTCTTTACAACAACAACAAAAAAAACAAACAAATCTTTCCATCTACAGGTTGGGAATATTAAAACTAATTCTGCATGTGGGGAATTAAAAGTACACATAATGTCCCACTGGGCAAAGATTACTGGGTTCTAGACCAAAATAAGGATCTCCAAAGGTCCAAACTCTAAACTGGGTGGTTAAACCAAACTCAAGGTGATTTTTAAACTAAACCGAAAACCCACAACACTCTAAATGTAATAAAAGGGAGATCTACACCACAAAAAAGATGAACTCTAAACCAAAACGTAACAGCTTATTCAAACGCAAGAAGCTGTTAGCGAAAATGCTAACAGTAGCTTTACCAACGTTAAGTTTAAGTTACCAAGTTTAACCCTCCCACTGTCCTAATGGGTGTGACCTCGTGAGGAAAGTTGACCATTGAGCAGGGTGATTGGTTTATCCCTTGAGGTCCACATGGCAGGGGTGAGGAGTGAGCACCACCTACCAGGTAGTTAGTGTCAGTGACTTTACAGCAATCCTTATACTAAGCAAGCATAAAGCGACAGTGGAGAGGAAAACTCCCTTTTAACAGGAAGAAACCTCCAGAGAATCCTAGCTCAGTATAAGCAGCCATCCTCCACAACTCACTGGGGATCGAGAAGACAGAGCAGGCACACACACGCACGCACGCACGCACACACACACACACACACACACACAAGACAAAGTAATGTGTCTATAGCTACATTGTGATTTCTTAGTAAATATTCTATTTGGTGAGGGATAAACTTTATTGTATTTATCCTAGTGGATCTATAATTAAACGGATAAACTGGCAGTGGCACATCCAACGTCAAGGAAAGCAAAAAGCTACTATCAGGAGAGGGAGAATGTTTTAGTGGTTAGCAGCAGTGTGCTAGACGATGGCTCCCTCCATGAGTTCACCACAGCTCAGCAGAACATCACTGTAGCTTCTTCTGGGGAGAAAAACACTTAGAGAGAAAATAAAGTTAACAGCTGAAATTGCAGAAAATAATACAGTTAAAGAGCAGATTGTAGAAGAAAGTAGTAGAGTGTGAAAAGTGGTCAGTTTGTCCTCCAGCAGTCTAAGCCTATAGCAGCATAACTACAGAGATAACTCTGGATAATCTATCCTATTTAGATGGAGGCATGTTGGAGGCAGGGCAAGGGAGAGCCATCTTTACCGACTGTACACTCCACCTCCCTCTTCTCCCCCACTTGTCCAGATCTAGGCTAACATCAGATTTTAACCATAGGCCCTATCAAATAAAAATGTTTTAAGCCTAGTCTTAAAAGTAGACAAGGTGTCTGCCTCACAGACTAAAGCTGGGAGCTGGTTCCACAGGAGAGGAGCCTGATAACTAAAAGATCTGCCTCCCATCCTAATTTTAGATATTCTGGGAACCACCAGTAAACCTGCAGTCTGAGAGCGAAGTGCTCAGTTAGGAACGTGTGGAACAATCAGATCACTGATGTATGATGGAGCTTGATTATTAAGAGCTTTATATGTGAGAAGAAGGATCTTAAAATCTATTCTGAATTTAACAGGTAGCCAATGTAGGGAAGCTAAGACAGGAGAGATATGATCTCTCTTTTTAATTCTCATCAGAACTCTAGCTGCAGCATTTTGGACAAGCTGAAGACTTTTAACTACATTCTGTGGACTTCCTGAGAGTAATGAATTACAGTAATCCAGTCTTGGTGTAATAAATGCATGAACTAGTTTTTCAGCATCACTCATGGAAAGGATGCTTCTAATTTAGCAATATTCCGAAGGTGGAAAAAGGAAATCCTACAAACCTGTTTAATCTGGGATTTGAATGACATGTCCTGGTCAAAGATAACACCAAGAATCCTTACTTTGTTAACGGAGATTAATGTAATGCTTTAACTAAGATGCACTAAAGTGCCAAATCATTGAATGCACGTGTCTACGGCACGATTAGACACTCTGTGGAAGTCCTGCTAGCACGTCAACAAGGGTATGGCTGTAGACCTGGAGAACACAGAGCAGATTCACACCTGCAGCAGTAAATCTGCAGGTCTTCGGGTCTGCAGCCTGATCAAGTCTTTCTTGTCCTCACTGGTCGTGATGCGTTTGAATGTAAACATCCGCTCCTTTAGATCTCGATCAGATGATGACAGCTTCAACACACCCCGCTGCTGAATTACAGAAACGCACGCATTTCCTTATCGGTAACAAAAACTATGTTATGACGAAAGAAGACAAGAAATAATTAGATTTACTGGAAAAACTAACTTCTCTTAGTAACACCGTTATTTTAAACACTTATTCCCATCACTGATGGTGGTGCAACATACTGGTGAAGGTTCTCAGTCATCCAGGTCATAGTAATCCAAAGGCGTTTGAATGAAGGCAACCTGGCTTCTTTGGTTTCTTGAAGAACGTTTCGCTTCTCATCCGAGGAGCTTCGTTAACTCTGAATGGAATGTGGGAGAGTCAAGCTTATAAACTGTAGCTGCCTATTGTTGCTAAATGAGCAGAAACTACCTATGAATACCCCTCATCCTATCCCCGATGAGTCTTCAGTGTCGTTAGCCTCTGGGGATTGTTGTATATGGAATAAAGAACAGTAGACAACTACAGTTTTAGGATTGCCCCTTCCGTTTCATGGAGATGCAACACATAAACCCCGCTGCTGTAATGGCACGACTTTATTTGAATACAATACCCACATGGGGTTCGACTGTATTCCCAGAGGTGACCGTTTATTGCTCATAGTGTGAAGTACCGCAGTGATCCAACCAGCTTAAAGAGAGCAACCTTTTGACATTGAAAACCCATCTCTCGTTTAACAAAACTCATGGACCCATTAATCTATCCAACATGCTCCGGTGAAGTGTCCTGGCTTGTCCTAAAACAGACAGCAGGGATCCCTTCTCACATTCATCTGCTTAATCTGGTTAACTTGATTAAGAAAAGGGATTAAATACCAGAGGGTTGTCAATTAGGTCAAGACTCAGAGAATAAAGCTGGAGAAGGCGTACGTGCACACCCCGCACACACCAGCCCATGTCGCCATTGTTCATTTCCATTTCAAAACTAATGACATCACATAAAACATACGTTTTTACGCCTGGAGAACCGTGTTAATACCTAAAACGCATGCCCTTCACATTTTAGAGACTTTTAATTGTATCAATTAGATTTAACAATTAAATCTAAGAAGTGTTAGTGCTTCGTGGTAGACAAAGTGACTTATGGTGCTAATGTTTTCACCTGTAATCAGTGAAGAGTAAACCATTCAGTTCAACTGTCGATTGTTTCCCAGAATGTCCAAAAGATTGTGCAAATGCACTTTAAAGGTTTGCTAAATGTATCTCCTCTTTCATTTGTTGCTTCAGAAAGTATTTGCTGTCCAACAGTTAATGTGTTTGACTTCATATCCACATCCTTTTCTATCCTCTTTTCCTCACGGATTTAGCCCGTCTTAAATCTGTCTCGGGTTTATTGGCGTTTAGTCTTACTGTCCTGTTATGGACCAAGAGAGCAAGGGTTCCTCCTAAGATGCTTAGGCTGCTAATGGACTTTGCAATGGTGGAGCTATTTTAGGACGAACAACGGAGAGGAAAGTGAAAAAATAGAGAGAGAAACGCTTAAATGGACAAACAGGAAATGAAAGAGCCAGTCTGGTGAGGATACAGGGCCACTTCATTTAGCTTTGGTTGGAAGTTTCTTCATTTTTTTAAACCTAATTTTGCCTGAAAACGACTACATTGGTGCTGTCCATCATGACGGTACACTGAAGAGGGGACAGGGTCCACAAAATAATCAGTCAAGAAGGCATGAGAGCAGAGAAGTGGGAGAGGATGCTCCCACCAGCTGGTGGAGGAGGACCAACAGAGCGGAGCAGGAAGCAGAACATCTCACCCCCTGAACCCGAAGGTGAAAGAGGAATAGTTCCCATGGCTCTCTGAACAAAAAATGAAATTGGAGCAAAGCAGTGGATCGCCCTGCCTCTGTGGTACCATCATGAATGAGAGCTGCATATAAAAATGGATGACAGCGACTCAGCACCGTCAATCAGTGTAAAGTATTCTCACTTATTTTCCCAATAGGTTAGTTTTCTCACTCACATTTTACTGGGATGAGATGTTTTTGCATTTTCTTTATCTTGTGAGCCGTCTCAGTCGCTTATGATTCATTTATTTTTTATTACCAAATTATCTGGATGATCTCAGTGCTTTTTAGTAAGATCTCGAGCAAGAGTTCTGCAGGATGTTTGAAAGTTTTTCCTTAAAACACTCAAAAGTGTACACCAAAATTCACACATCTGCCTGTTGCTCTCTAAAATATACACATTCTCTTTGAAAGGAAACTAAGGATCTGATGAAAACGAGACTGAGAGAAAACAAGTTTGATGATGTTCTTTGGTCACTTCTAACGTTCTTGTAACTTGGCTGCGTTCAGTACTGATGCTGATCCTAATCCTTTTCAACTTGGTTAAGTTTGGCATTTCATTTCTCAAAAACATAAAAAAAATACTTTTAAAGCTTCTACAGCATATCTGTAAAACAAGCTTTTCAACCTAAACACAGTCACAGAGATGTCACCCCTACCATCGACTATCGCCCCTAGTCCACGCCTCCCTTGATATGGGGACCTGCATTGCAACAATAAACGAGAGAGCACTAAACACCAGTCGCCGTTTTCTAGGTCCAAACATCTTTCATTGTCCGAGAATTCAAATGGTGTTTTTCTTTTTGGGACTTTGGTGTATTGTCCTAAAGTTGAAGTGGTAGCAGCCAGCTGTTTCTCCTCTGATATTATTGAGAGGAGAATCTCTCTTTTTTTGTTTATTTACAGGAAATATTAATAGCTGTACTATGTTAAAACATTAAGAGGCATGAAAACATTTTTTAAGCAAGCTTATTTTGCCAATTTACCATCATAGCGTTTAACTGATAGCTGTATAAATTGAAAACCTTAAGTCAGTTTCAAGTCATATAAATGAAAAGTTGACATCATAGTAGCTTTGAATGAAGGCAGCTAGTTAGTTCCTTGGCCGTTCCTCAGTATGCATACTTTTCTGTACTTCTGTACTCACGTCCTTATGAAACGTCATCAACGATAGACCAAGTACTGTTACAATTCTAAGAACGCTTTCATGCAAGTATGGTCAGAGTTCCCAAATGTGTTCTTGCTCTGCCCATTGGATCGAGGATGCATCCCTCTGTACAGGGTATTGGGGTGGGGGTGGGGGTGGGGGGGGGGATTTCACATTATTTTAAAAAGTACTAAGTTTTGATGTGTTATTGTTATTTTTCCAAACAATGTTATACAAAAATTTTCTAATTTATTAAAGCTGAAGGTATTTTACGTAATGTACAATCTAAATGTGATAAACAAACAAAATTCTGAACAGTTTGAAATAACGATGTGCTGAAAATTCAACCACTGAAAAATTTTGGCCGAAAATGACCCAAAAGTGCATTTTCGGTTTTCGGCCGAAACACCAAAATTACCAAAACAACACAGCCGACACAGACCATCAGGTGAACCGCGTTGTAATTCCATCTTGCTCCACCCTCATGTGGCACCTTGCTCTTTGCTTCATAAAACATTTGCACTGATTTTAATCTTTTTCCCCTTTTATTAATGCTGTTTTAATACGATCACTGGATTACCGCGTCTGCCTGCTTTTTCTTTTTACATTCCCGCTACGTCTTCCACTATTAGCTGTGGGTTTTTTCACCGTCCTTTCCACACCCACCATGTCCTGAACATGGTGAAATAAGCGTCCTCCCAAACTCGGTAGAATGGACTTTCTGGTGTCCTTGTCAAGAATGCACCTGTCAACTACACAAGTACGTACTAGCATATGTGGGTATTGAGAAACAGCCCTTGTCAATTGACAAAGCTCCTCAGATGAGATGCAGAACATCTTTAAGGAACTGAAGAAGTCGAGTTGACTTTACTCAAACATGCTAGGGTTATTATTACCTGGAAGACCGAGAACCTTCACCTGCACACAATTCTTTTTCATCTCCAAGAATATCAGCCTTGTGTGACCGAGGCTTGAACTCTTAGAGTTCATGCAAAAGTTGATAGCTTATAGATAATTTTTTGTCAGCTTCCCGAAGAGTGCTCCTCTAAATGTTTAATCAAGTCAGCACTCCTGAATCTTCTCTGATGTTCAAGTAACTCCTGCAAAGCTTTGTCGTGTGCAGAGTCCTCAATCTGCTGCAGTGTAAAGTTGCTTTTAGTTAATATAGACCAAAAACACAGAGAGCTTTGCTCTTTGACTCACGTTGGTTCATGCACATCATTTTACTGCAAGACCTCTTGGATTAGTCAGAAAACGAGTGAGTGGCTGAACTGGAACTTGTATTGTTGGTGAGTGGATAACAGTACATGCATTCAAATTTGTATTCTTATTCAGATTTTTTGGTGTGGAATGTTCAGTTCAACACTGACTTGTACCAAAAAACCACAGGAATGTGTAAATGTGTTGCACACTAGCCATTAGCCACCAACAGACACCAGGTCCTTCTTGATCAGGATGACCTGAAGTGAAAAACAATGAAATATGATGGTCTTACCTCAGTGTCTGAGTACTCAGTATCTTCTGTATGCTAAACAGAAGTTACAATTATACTTAGTGGCATATGAGTCATCCCTGTTCCTAGCTAGACGATATTTTCTACACCCAGAGACATTTTAACATATTAGAAACTCAGACCTACGTCACACTATCACTTAACATTCATGGACTCGCCCATCTTGGCTCATGGCGAGGAAGGCTGTTGTTGGTTTAGCATCCAGGAAACTGCAGAGAACGTCTCGACTAGTAGAAGCTAACTGTTAGCGTTAGCAGAATTCCTTCAGCTTGTGTTATTTGTGGAGATAAAATATCAATGGGGAGGGGAAATGTTCAAATATCATGAATATCAATGAATAAGGCTCCAAATCCGTCTTCTGCCACTTTCTCTTCCAGCTGTCCTCAAACAGGCGCACCAGAGATGTTTTTTCCCGGAGTATGACCTACACGGCATTCATTCCTATTACAGATTACTAAAAATGTTCACCTAAAATAGGTAAATAATAGATACAAAAATGAAGGTTTTTCTAAGTATTTATAAAAATTACAGATGCTGCTGTGCCTCTGTTCACCACATAGTGGCGATGTACAACTAAATCAAGAAAATGCATGGCTGTGCCGTGACTTGAAACCTCATTTCCATTTCAGTTGCAGCATGCCCATTAGTATTAGTTATTATAAAATGTTCAGTAAATAACAGCCCATTAACACTAATCTTCCGCCCAGTTGCTGTTTGTTGCTGGGAGGTTGCGGCATTTATCAGAGTCCTCATGCTGCAGCAGCAAGAGGACGACGGGAGGCAAAGTCACTCATGTGGAACCTTAATACACAGCTGGTTAAAGATGGTCATGTGACCGTATTTCAAACGTTGATGCATGGAGTCGTTTCTAATTGGTGCGTATGTCGAATGGAGAATCTGCTGTGATTGGCTGGGAGTGCAAGAGGTTACCACATACATACACACAGTGTAGTTATTTCTGTGCTGGCTGACCTACTAATGTTAACATGTAGTGCATGCCTGCTAGGCTCATTAGTATCATCTCACTTTGAAACATTTTTTTTAATTTTCACCCCTTTAATTAGTCTTTTTCTTTGATAATTTTTAGACAATTTTTAGATAATTTTTTTTGTAATTTCAACCGTGATATCATGCAGTGCTCTTAATATCTGCAGTAATTCCCCAGAATGTGTCATGTTTTTCAGGTGTGTTACTTTATTTGTGTGTGTGTGTGTGTGTGTGCACGCATGCATGCATGTGTGTGTGTGTGTGTGTGTGCTTGTGTGTTAGTACATATCTAGAGGACCTCCATCTGTTTCTTCCCAAACATAGAGCAACTAACTGTACAGCTGCTCTTAGGATGACTAATCACCAAAATCAAGACTTTCCGAAGGCTTTGGTTGTTGCTGAAATTTCTTAAATCAGCACCCGTCATCTTGGAGGAACATATGAAATATTCTTTCAAAGTACAGAACAGAACTCCTATGGGCGACGGTGGAACAGGAGTTAAGTGCTCGCCCCGTAATCGGAAGGTTGCAGGCTCGAGCCCCGCTCAGTCTGTCGCTGTGTCCTTGGGCAAGACACTTAACCCACCTTGCTTGGTCGGAGGGATCGGTGGTGTCTTCCATCAGTGTGCCCCAGGAGAGCTGTGGCTCCATTGTAGCTCATCACCATCAGCGTGTGTGTGTGTGTATGTGTGTGTGTGTGTGTGTGCATGGGTGGATGATGATTTTTGTTACGAAGCGCCTTGGGAGTTGTATAACCCTAGAAGGTGCTCTATCAAATACAGGCCATTTACCATGTTCTGGTTTTTTGTTATAGATTTCTTTTATACACAGCTAGTTGGAAAACTCAGTTGTTGTAACTTTAAAAGGGCTTTATAAAGATCTATGGTAAAGTCAGGGTTTGAATTACGGGGGAGCTAGGGGAAGCCCACTTCCGCCAAAAGGGTGGGGGGCTCCTCTGGAAGACCTCAGCTGACACACCCAGGGCCCAGCAAACATTGTCACGACGGCAACATGGTGTCCACGGCCAGAAATGGTCGCGGTCGGACGTCTTAAATTTGTGAAAACAGATGTAACAGAAAATTCCCTAAAAATCCATTCAGATATATTTTTACATGTCAGTATTGGTCCGACGGCATCGTCATGCCCACGGCCAAAAACTTTCACCGTAGGACGGCTTAACATGGTAAAGATATTTAACTGAACATTTCCTAAGAATCCATTCAGATACATTTACAGTTATCTGGGATTACGCTATTTTGTAATGATATATTTCAAAATAATGATAAATATTTTTTTACATTAATATAGTAATACAAAGCCTAAATTTTAATTATCAAACGTTCAAATGAGACGCGCTGAAAGACGTTCATGTCATGGCCAGAAAAGACGTTGGTTCAACTTTCGCTTTGGAACTATTTTTCAACCACGACAGGACGTGTCGGTTTGACGTTGTTTCAACTGTCATTAAACGTCCGAGTGTTT